AATATATCTAGCAATGATTGGTTGAATTTGTTTTTCTCTTTAGTTTAAATTTCCAATTTGTCCCTTAAATTATGTTATTATATTTGCAATGTTATAAGTTATTTACAGAAACTTATACTGTTCTAATCAATATAATCAAATTGTTTAAATCACTCTTACTAACATTTGACAATAATAAAAAGACAAATCTATAAAACAAAACCCATTATTTAGGAGTTAAAAATCTCATTTAATAGAGTTGACAAAAAAATTGAAATTCTAACAAGGGAAGCAATTTGTATTTTAAATAAATCTCAGAGAGTATATTTGCAATTTACCCTTAAGTAATATAAATTTTGATTATCAATTAGATTATCAAACTACCTCTAGTGAAAAAATCTTTTAAGTAATTCATTATATTTGTACGAGTACGAAATAATCGTTGCTTGTATAATCCTAGTAATCAAGCTGGCGCTCCTCCAAACGATGCCGTATGGCCTGAAATTACAAGAACACATGAGCTTACCAATGGATGTGTGCCAGAAAACCCCTCTGATGCTTAAGTCAATACTTAAGATCAATATTGGAAAAAGCTCTATTGAATCTTGTGAATAGAATTGTGTTACCTCATTTTAGGTTATCTATGAGTTTTTATAATTTTTACATGGCAGAATCCTAGTAGGATTCTAATTCCTCATCGTAGAATCCTATCAGGAATCACCTTCCTAAAGGATAATTCCATCCTTTAACACCCTCATCACTAAAGAAGGTGAAATAGCACAACTCCTACACCGACAACCGAGCAAATCATCATCCCAGTCACTTACCTAACGTGCAATCAACTGAACCTTACTACTTCAAGGGATGTGTATCAAACAATAGAATCTGACCCACCAGCCCGACCCGTCCGAACTTGATAGTCAGCGGTTGATTTCGAATTAAGGAATGATCAGTAGTGGTTCCATGCACAGCAATATTTCAGATTCACAGTCAGCACTAATTTTTTATTTCAACCACCCGTCGAAACCGACCCAACTAAGTATATACAAATAAAAAAAATAGAAAGTTACAGAATATAACAATATTCCAAGAAAGACACCTTATTTCCAGAGGGTTTTCTCTCAACTCTCTCTCTCTCTCTCTCTCTCTCTCTCTCTCTCTAATCAATGTTACTTTTCACCTCTCTCCTAGATAGAAACCTCTCTTCTTCCTAGAAACCCACCCCTCTTTTCCTCATCTTCTTCCTAGAAACCCCTCTTCTCCCTTATCTATTCCCCTCAGAAACGCCTTATCTCCTTTATTGAAACCTCTCATAAATTTCCTGTTTCTTTAATTTTTATTTCCAAGAATCAATTCAATCATCTATTCTCTCTCTTGTTTTCTCTTATTGTCTTTTCTTTGTTTTTTTTTTCTCTAAATGATTAAAACCCCAAATCATGACCAGTGAAACCCTAAACCTCTCCTCAATCTCTTTCCTTCAATTCAATTCTTCAATATTCTCTTTTTCCTTGTCCTTTATTGGCTAAAAGCATAAGTTTTATTTGCTTGATTCTTCAAAAATCCTTTTGATATTGGTTCTCTAATGACAAGAAGTTGGAGATGACGATGACGGTGGGAGTTAGAGACAACAATGTGCAACGACAGTTGTATGGTGAATCTTTTGTCTCCCCTTTTTCATCATTTTTTCTTCTCACTATCTCTCTCGCAAATCTTTATCTTTGTATGAGTTTTAAGATTTTGATATTTAAACTTCAAATCTCATTTTTTTTGTCAATTTTTTTCCTCTATCTTCCTCCTCTAATAGAGATTCGAAATCGACCAATCAAACTGTGAAACTGAGTGAATTGACTCGATCGATTTCAAACCATAAATCAATCAATAATGGTTGAATTTTTTGGTAACCCATTGAGTCGATTTGACTGATGGATTAAGGGTAAACCCAAACCAAATTGACCCATGCACATCCGTAGTTGCTTCTAAAAACAAGCACTATGTGGAGCTAACCTAGCTCGGCGTGCCTTTTCACCTTGCATTGACTTAGCTCAGCGCTCTAACAAGCCATCTAGACTAATTTTTCTTAGCCAAACATGCGAAAATGATTGCCCAGTTTGGCGATGTCTACTTCTCAATTTGCCCCTTTAATTCCATCTGCTTCGGGATAATTGCGATTACTCTGTTTGTTACCCAAAAGACAACCTTAGAAGGGGGGTGAATTAGGTTTTTTATAAATAAAAATAATAATACCCCAATCACAATTACAACTTGGACAACAGATAAGTAATTCCAAGTACTAGATCAATATCTGTTGATGACAATGCTTAACGAAGAAATTTAACAATGAGGTATGAAAACACGGTAAATAGTTATAATAGTTAAGTAAAGAGATTAAGGAAGAAGAGACAAGCAGATTTAGAGTGGTTCAACTTTAACAAAGCCTACATCCACTCCTCAAGCTTCACTGGGTGCTAGCAACAATTTCACAAATAGAGCAATCCTCCACAGATTTTACAAAGACTATACCAAGTCTAAAACCTTGCCCTCTTTAGCTGATTCTCAATCACACTTAAAGAGTCAAGAAACCTGAGTGTACCGCACTCTTACAATCTTTGAATGATAGGTTTTGTTTTCACAAAATGCTTGAAATAAAACTCTCTGAAGAAATATTACAAAGATTGAAGCTCTAAGTTTATATCAGGGAAAATAAAACTGTCACAAGTATATATGCTTAAAGCTAAAAATCACTGAAATTTATGAAGGGAAAACAAAAATCATATGAAGAACACTTTAGATAATAGAGAAAGATGAGAGTGATAATTGATCAGAGAATGTTTTCTTGCTTGTGTTGTTGCTTGTATTTTATTTTTATTTTTTTGTTCAGTAGAAGCTTTGCCTTTTATCAAAGAGAAGATCATCGAACATTGTTTGTTGCATGTGTTGAAAAGATTGAATAAGATTTTGGTTAAATCTACTCTACTCTAATTTGCATTTCCCATAAATGATTAGATCTTGAGGAAGTTGAAGGATGGGTCTGATTGTTGACAACTATATTAGAAAAAGAGTCATTGAAGTACAGAGTGGTCGTCCACCTGGATGTCCAAAATGCAATTTTGTTCTTGAGGGAGGTCTGCCAGATTGTCCTCGTGGATGTCCAATGGGGTTTCGATCGTCAAGGATGACTTCCACAATTGTCGAGGATACTGTTGATTTGATAGCCGATGAGCAGCAAAATTGAACTGGAGCAAAGCTGGGCCAAGAACCGTTGGTCGGTCGTCCAGCTAGATATCCGGCCAGATGTCCACCAAGACGTCCAGCCCCCCTTTGGGCTGGACTGCTTCGGTTGCTGCTGTGTTAGGCTGTTTAGGTGTTGTTTTGGGCTAAAATTAACACCTGATTAAGCATATTTTTACACTCCAAAAATATGATTAGGAAAGAAAATATAATGGTATATAACATAAGATTTCAATATATTTTCTCTTCCAAATAAATCAAAAACAGAATCAATTAAATCATCAAAATAAATAAGTCTAACACTATTCAACTAGGCAAAAATCCAGCTTAGTCTAAACAACCATCTGGTGAAACCAATTGGTGCTTCATATGCAGCTCTGACACCAAGTCCTGTTTAAGACATGTGGCACACCGATACTGGTTCCATGCACCTATTACAGTCGTCATGTACTTTTTCCAAAAATTTGAATCATTGCGCCTTTTTGGCTCCTCTATATATACAAGAAATACATATAACCCAAATCCCTTACTATTCATCTTCTTCCCAACGACAAACCCTAAAGCCAGAGTTCTTCACCGTTTTCTTGTTTTTCAAACCAAGAATTGGGTATTTTTCACACAGCATTCAAATCGTCACCATTGTTAGAGCATTTCTACCAATTAGAAACCAAATCCCTGTGTTCAACGGTGATTTTTCGTAATTTCTTCAAATTATAGTTCCATATTTCTGAAGTTCTTAATATTCTTGAGCTTTAACTTCCAAATCTCATACTAAACTCTACTTGGAACCCAAATAACAAATAGAAACTGGATAAAATGAAAGTTTAAACCATTATGAGGGCAAAACAACCCTTAATCTATCCTTTCTAATCCACACAACCCAGATTAAGATATATGTACACTAAAAAAATTGGGCAAAAACCTTGATTTTGATATCAAAACGTAAACCGCTAAAGCAAACTCTATGTTTCTGACTAACCATAAGGACCTATGTGCCCCATAAACCAACCAAGCTAAATTTCAACTATAGGACTACAGACCAGGGTAAATGATAAATCATTACTTTTCACCGTACAGAATACTAGGCTTGAATAGGAACACCAACACACTGTGTGACTCTCAAAGATCGAGCAGACACCACACACAGCTAGGCGGCATTATGCAGCTGAGCAAAAAGCACGTAATCAGCTCTATTTTAAGTTATTAAATTGGACGGAGCTTAGTAGGCCAGTACCTTTTCAAAGTGGTTTCTCCTAGAGCAATAAATGAGTTTCGTGAAGACTACAACATACTAGTTGATGTTCATATCGAGTTGGCGAAAGAGGGAACCCTTCCCTAGGACCAAGAAGGTGTTTGTCCCTTCACTGTGATATCTATTGTAAAGGGGGCTCCACTTCCATGTGCAACCCTTGATATGTAAATTGCTAAGGCAAACTAGACTTTGCCCCACACAAGTCTCCACTAACAGATGCAGAATAATAAATGTATTAGTGGAGCTCAATTGTTGATTAAATCTAAACCTTGGTCTTGCCGAGATATTCCACTAATACACCCTTCGCTGAACTGACGATGAGTGGCGTTGGTACTTAAAAGAACCGCGAATGCCTGGTAACAAGTAGTCTGGACAAGGACATGACGATGAATTTCTCTAGGTATCTGACAATTATGAAATGGCCAATGTGCCCAGTTGATACATAAATTGTAAGAAAGGTTCAACAAGTAATATGAATAGCTCGATCGCTTCTACTTTTCTCTCATCATTCCATTGAACTAACATGTGTGATATTTTGTAGACCTCAACCACCTCAAGTTGAATTATTCTTTCCCCAATGAAGATGTAATCAGGTTCGTGCTGAAATACAAACAATGCGACTGCTACATACTCCTTAACTATGAACCGAACTACCGGTACTCTACACCGCTTAAGAGTAAAGTTTTGATTTTTTTTTTCTGAACCCCCTCCTTCTCCAGACCCAACTCTACCAGAAATCCCCTTGATCCGCTTGATTGATGAAAAAGACATGGCCAAACGTAGAGGTATAAAAAACTGGATAATCACTTCCTCCAAAGATAAAGCAATCACTTCCACCACTCCACCAGCTCAAATCACATAGCAAACTACTAGAATTGTGCTAGTCTTGGCTTCCCCAGGTTAGCATGAAATCCCACCATGCTTCAAAGAGGGCGCGCGCCTCTGATCCATCTATTGAATTAACTACCGAGCTAAGCACCAAGCAACCGGTCGAGCAGGCCATTCCTGCCCCAGCTTGGAAACCATCATTGACCCACCGGGGAAAAATTATCATAACTGCGGACTCCATTGCTGAGGACAATGAGCATTTGCTTGGATACAATTTTTCAAAAGCCTTTCTCATGACTGCTGACATGAAGAAGTGCAACCATTATCTTGATACGTAGCTTATCAAATTCACGATCAAGTCCATAGCCAAGGTAATTCTTCAATTGAGCATTCTTTTAGTTTTCTACTTAGTTTTAATTGCTAATTTTTTGCTCAATTTTGATTGCTAATTTTTGCATTTATTATAGGCCATCCAAAAATCCCATGTCGCTATGGAGTGGCTGGTTAAAGCAAAACAAAGTCTGAAGGACAACACCAACTATGCTGCTGTCATCGAAACTGAGGTAGGCGATCGCAGGCTTCACTGGAGATAGCCAATGCTAACAATGCACAAATTTTCGGTCAACTTGCCACTGTTGAAAAGGTGAGGGATAGAGCTCTAGCTAAGCTGAAGAAACTGAATGAAGAAGCAGCCGCACAAAAGCTTACTACGGATGTTGTACTCAAAGCTGCTGAAAAATAAAGGCTTTCATGAGGCTAAGGAGACCTATAGCAAACAAGTTGATACCACAAAGGATGTCTTCTTTCAATTTGGCTAAAAGGCAACTTACGAAAAACTTGGCCATGGCCTCGACACCGACGTATTCACCACTCCTCCCACCTATTTCTTGCCAGACTACATGGAAGCCTATACTAATGGGGTATTCAAAACTCTTGCATCGAATGGCAAAGAAGAAGGTGATAGTAAGGATAGCACTAAGGAAAATCAACCTAGTGGAAACACTGAAAGTAGTGTTGAAGAGGAAATGATGTAACGGGGTAGAAGGCCCTTCATTTTGTAACTTTTTGAACATGAATGGAAGTCTCAATATTTTGCAAATATTGCCACACCATTGACTTATTTGCTTTCTAACGAACGAAATAGAACATAACTCACTTCCTTGCCGAGAAAAATCAGCTCGACAAATAGCCCTAAGTTGAATTAAACTTTTACATTACTACGTTGAGCAAAACCAGTTAGGTAAAGGTCTTCAAATTTGGGAAAAACCTCCAACTTACTTCGCCGATCAAAATCCAGCTCGACAGAGCTTTTCAAAGTTGGAAAAGACCTCTAACTTACTTCGCCAGCAAAAACTAGCTCAACAAAGATTTTCAAAGTTGGAAAAAACCTCCAACTTACTTTGTAGAGCAAAACCCAACTCGACAAAGACTTTTGAAGTTGGAAACATCCTCCAACTTACTTCGCCAAGCAAAAACCAGCTCGGCAAAGATTCTCAAACTTGGAAACATCCTCCAACATACTTTGCCAAGAAAAAACAAGCTTGGAAATATTTTCAAAATTGAAAACACCCTCTAACTTACTTTGCCGAGTTGAAACCAGCTTAGCAAAGAGTTTTTAAGTTGGAAACATTTTCCGACTTACTTCGCCGAGCAAACTTCAGCTCGACAAAGATTTTCAAAGTTGGAAACATCCTCTAACCTACTTTGGCTAGTAGAAACCACCTCAGTAAAGATTTTCAAAGTTGAAAACATCCTCCAACCTACTTTGGTAAGTAGAAACCAGCTCAGCAAAGATTTTCAAAGTTGAAAACATCTTCCAACCAAAAGCAAAAACTAACTCGGCAAAAATTTTCAAAGTTGGGAAAATCCTCCAACCTATTTCGTCAAGCAAAAATTAACTCGGCAAAGACTTTCGAAGTTGGAAACATCCTCCAACCTACTTTGTCGAGAAAAAACCTACTCAGTAAATATTTTCACAGTTGAAAACATCCTCCAACCTGTTTCAATGAGAAAAAATTAGCTCGGCAAAGAGTTTTGAAGTTGAAAACATCTTCCAACCTACTACGCCGAGCAAAAACTAGTTCAATAAAGATTTTCAAAGTTGGAAACATCCTCCAACCTACTTCATCGAGCAAAACCAGCTTGGCAAAGAGTTTTGAAGTTTAAAACATCTTCCAACCTACTTCGTCTAGAAAAAACTAGCTCGACAAAAATTCTCAATTAAGCAAAGGGCAGCCAAATCTATTGCCCCTTAATCGTACTAAATCAATTACAACCGAAGATAGTAATAAACATTGCAAAGTGCTAAAACGAAATATTGTCTACCTGATTTATTAATGATAAAAATTGAAAAGTGCAAGAATTAAAGTTAGAAACAAAATAACTTTAAATTGGCAATGTTCCACAGCCTAGGAATAGCATGACCATCCAAATCCTCCAAATTGTATGCCCCTTTTCCAATAAAACCCACAATCTTATAAAGTCCTTCTCGATTAGCGCCCAATTTTCCTTCATCAGACACCAGAGTGTTGCTTGTGACTTTACTCAAAACCCAGCCTCCTACCTTGAATTGTCTTGAATGCAAGGTTTTGTTTTATTTTCTAGAGAACTCTGGTTGGTAGGTAACTTTGTAAACTAGTGCCTTCTTTCTTCTCTTTTCTGCAAGGTCCAACTCCAAAGAAATTGCTTCTCCATTCAAGTCAGGATCGAAGTTTTCACTTCTAATGGTTGACAAACCAATCTCTAGGGGGATGATAGCCTCTACGCCATAGGCCAAAGCAAAAGGAGTTTCTTCTGTGAGTTGTTTGGTATGCCTACAAGACGTGAGGTAATTCTTTAAGCCACTTTCCCTTAGTTTTTTTAAGTTTCTTCAGTCCATCAAGAATGACCTTGTTTTAAGCTTCCGCCTGCCCATTTGACTGAGGATAGGCCGATATGGAGTTATAGAACTCAATCTTCAATTCTTCACAAAATCCTCTGAAAATCTTTCCGTCAAATTGAGTACCATTATCAGAGATCAAATCTTTGGAAACTCCAAATCTGGTAATAATATTCCGCTACACAAATTTTTTCACATCTTTTTCTTTGATAGATGCAAGTGCTTCTACTTCAACACATTTGGTAAAGTAGTTTGTCACTGCAATAAAGAATTTCCTGTTACCCAGTGCTGCTGGAAGAGGTCCCATAATATCCAAACCCCATAAAGCAAAAAGGCAAGGACTTGTCAGAGGTAGAAATTCTCTAGCCAGTTGATGGATTTTATACGCAAACTTCTAGCACTTCTTACATTTTCTAATGTATTTTTACAGGCCGGCTTGCATATACAGCCACCAATAGCCTTGAGAAATAGCTCGGTAACCCAGCGATCTCCCACAATATGACTTCCACACATTTATTCATGTATTTCAAACAAGAAGGCTTCAACCTTGCTAGGATGAACACATTTCAAATATAGACAAGTGAAAGACTTCTTGTACAACACTCTAGATGGAGATAGCCAAAACTATTCTAGTTTTGCTAAGATTTTATGTGCTTTCTTCTTGTTGGAGGGTAAAATCTTGTCTTATAAAAAGGTGATGACGAGATTCATCCATAATAGTCCCAACTCAATGCATAACACTTCTGCTGCTTTAAGCTCTTCCATGCTGGGTCTTAACAAGAATTCAATTAATAGATGGTTAGGAATTGTTGTGTTAGGCATGGAGACAAAGTGGGCTAACTCATCGGCACTATTGTTTTCATCTTTTCCATTCTATTCTACCCTTATTGCATTAAACTTTTTGATTTCTTCTCTAACCAGCATTTGATATTTGGCCATTTTGTCATCTTTTGCTTCATATTCACTGGAAATTTAGTTGACCACTAGTTTGGATTCACTGTACACCATTAGCTTGGTTTCCTTTATGCGGAGGACTAATTTTAGACTGGCTGAAAGTGCTTCGTACTTGGCTTCATTATTGAAAGTTAGGAATCCAAGTCTGATTGCTTACTCTGCAATTAGGCTGTCTGGTGAAATAAGGACAACTCCTGACCCGACTTCATGTCTGTTGGAAGCTCCATCAAATAATAGTTTCTACATCTTCCCAACGAACAACTTCCAGCATTCAGAAGGATTTAAAGATTTCTTTAAGTCTGGGATAACTATTACTTCTTCGACCTTAACACCCGGTGGTTCTTGGATTACGATAGGTTGTTCAACGATTTCTTTGCTCGGCGACCCTACAATATTCCTTTCAGGCACTTCATCGCAAATCAGATCTTCTACTACTCAGATTACATCTTCCTCCCCTAGCAGTGCGTTGTTAGGTCCAGAAGGTTGCTCCACTAGTTCCAAACTCAGTGGCGCACTGTTAGGCTGCTCTGTTGGTGACAAGGCTTCAACTTGTTGCAAAGCGGTTGTTAGATGCGCAATTCTTGTAATACTTACACCCCTTTGCACAGTTTCTTTAGTGAAGTTGACCGGGCAAACTGAATAAGTTCCTGGGGAGAACTCAACAACAAAGTCTGCAAAGCTTAATCCTTTATCGCAGTTCTAGTTTAGAATTTGATGTCGAATTGTCCTAACTCAACCACTCACTTCAAAATCCTTCCAAAAAAATTTGCCCTTCCAAATAAGGATTTCAATGGTAATTCAATTAACACCATGATCGTATATGCATGAAAGTAATGTACTAACTTTCTGGACGCCATCATCAAAACTAAGGTGAGGTTCGCTAATGGTAGATACCTTGTCTGAGCACCGAGAAGAGTTTTACTCACAAAGAAAATTCGCAAGTGTTGTATTCCGTCTGTACGACCAAGCACCATGCTGACAACATGCTGAAAAAACTGCAAGGTACAAATAAAGTTCTTCCCCAGGCTTTAGGGTCACTAGAAGTGGAAATAAGGACAAATACCGCTTTAAATCCTCCAGAGCGCGGTCGCATTCTTTATCCTAGTTGAACTTTGATTTTATCGCCTAGAAAAATGATCTACAATGGTCTAAAGACCAGTCAATAAATCTGTTCAGCACGGCTACCAATCCTGCTAGATATTATACTTCCTTTGGAGTGTTTGGTCTTTTTAACTCTTTAATCGCTTTGATTTGTGAGGGGTCAACTTCTGTTCCATGGTTGGTCACTAAGAAGCCTAAGAATTTACCTAATCTCACACCAAACGCACACTTGGATGCATTTGAACGTAGTTTATCAGTCTTTAAAATATGAAACATCTCAAAAAGGTTGTTGAGATGGTCAAACTTGTTCTTGCTTTTTTTATCACCATGTCATCAATGTATGCCTCCATTGACTTGCTAAGCAGAGGGGTGAATATCTTGGTGATCATCCTCTGAAAGGTTGCCCCTGCATTCTTCGAGTTGTGAAAGAAGTGATCTCTTGGTTTGGCTTGTACATAGTGATTTGATGATATCCACAATATGTTTCTAGAAAACTTAGGCAGTTATGACCTACTGTAGAATCTATCAACTGATCAATCCTTAACAATGGGAAATTATCTTTTCGGCACACTTTGTTGACCATTTTGTAATTAACACAAATGCAACACTAATCATTTTTCTTCAGCACAACAACAGTGCTTAAAATCCACTTAGGGTAATGGACTTCTCTAATTACCACTGCCTCCAATAAGTTTTCTACTTCTTCGGCCACTACCTCTGCATAGTGCATTGCCGACCTGTGAGTTTTCTGAATGACTGGTCTAGTGTCTAGGTTGACATTGAGTTAGTGGCAGATCAAGCTTGGATCAATGCTAGGCATATTGTAAGGCGTCCAAGCAAACACTTCAATGTTAGAAATCAGAAAGCCCATGATTTCCTTCATTTCATTACTAAACAAGGATGAGCCTAACAAAAAGAAATTTTTCGAATCATTCTCATCAATCCTTACTTCCACAAGCTCTTCAACGACTTTCTCTTCGGCTTCATTACTAGCATCTTCAAGAACCTCCCCGTCTTCCGGCTCTTCGATCATTTGAACAAATCCTTTGGCAACTTGGCTACCTTCTTACAATGGGAAAACATTGCTTTAACATAATTTGATCTCCTAGGACCTCTTCAATCCTCTCTTGTGCATTGGGAACCAGGTGGTATGTTGATGATATGGCTTGCATGGCATGCAACCATGCTCTTCCCAGAATAATATTATAAGTGGATAGGACCTTCAACATCTAAAACTCCACTTGTTTGACCACCGAACCCACTTTGACCGATAGTATGATCTTACCAACTGGCCATTCGAGCATTGAATTGAAGCTGACCAAGGGAGACGTGGCAGGTGCCAAGCCTCTTTCGTCCAACTTGAGTTGTTTAAAAGCATCATAGTACATGATCTCAAACGAGCTACCCTGGTCGATTAAGATCCTCTTGATGTCATAATTTCTGACGCACAAATTTACCACTAGTTCATCGTTGTAAGGATTTTGTAGTCTCGCCAAATCTCTATCAAAGAAAGATCTCTATCTTCCCCTTCTTGAAGGTCAACTGGACATTGAGTACTTCCCTCATGTGTGCAGCCTTCTTAATCATACCTCTTACAAACTTGCTCAAGGTCAATCATACCATGGATCACATTGATAACTCCTTGAGAAAGGGCGTCAAAGGGCATTCCATTCGACATGTCTTGATTTTGGAAGGCTGCCCTAGCTTCACTTTTGATGAAGCGGTTTAAGTGTCCTACTACAACCAGCTTTTCTAAGTGTTGTTTAAGTGGTAGACAATCTTCAATTCGATGCCCTTTTTCATCATGATATGTGCAACGCTACTTTTCATCATAGCCCTTCTGTGCCTCACCCAACTTGGTTGGCCATCGAACGTACGACTTGTCTCAGATTTCACTAATGATAAGGTAGATGGGCTTCTTGAATACCATAGTGATAACAGTGCTAGCTTTCAACTTCCTTGCTTTCTCCTCTTCATTGTTCAAAAGTGGATTAGCCTGGTTATTATTGTTGCAATTCTTATTGTTATAGTTTCTGCCTTGCTTTTCATTTTTCCCAACCATGTTAACTTTAGCTAAATTTTTGTCTGCCAGTGCTGTGGCGATCTTTGCTTTGCATGAGCAAAATCTTCTTTAACCCTTATGTGCTAGTAAACCCTTTCCATTATAGCCTCCATGGTCAGGGGAGATGTCATTGTTAGTGAGTCTCGCAAACCATGTTCGATTGACAAACCTCACTTATTGGGCAATAGCTAGGTTAGAAGGACATTTGTCAATTTCATTGAATGTCTCCCAATATCTGTTGTTATATGACTTCAAAGTCTCCTGAGGCCCTATATCAATAGCCAGCAAATGATCAACCTTCTTGGGCGTCTTGGTGTTTGTTTTGAATTTGGTAACGAATGCCTCTACAAGCTATGCCCAAGTGGCAATGCTGCCCTCAGGCAATTTTTCCAACCAAGCCAAACCTAAATCCCCTAGGCTTGATGAAAACAAGATCCACATCAACACATCGTTCCTTTTATAAATAACCATGACTTGTCAAAAATGACTAAGGTACATCTAAGGATCTGACTTCCCATCATAGATTGAAAACTTCAGTTGGTAGAAGCCTACTAGAAGAGGTGCGCTCTTGATCTCCGGTGAGAATGTTGTGCTCTACAATCTTGTCAGCTCCCTGTCCGCTAGCACATAAACAACACGTGGCATTGGCATTGCCACCTTGATGCTATGCGTCTTGGGAGTCAACGTCTACAAAGATGACATCCTTTAAGGATGGTTCACTTGGTCTATTTCCCTTATTCGAACCCTTTTATCGAGAACAGTCCTCAAGTCTTCTGATCTTGGAAACTCTAAATAATAAGATGATATCTAATGAGAATGTGAGGGGCGATGGCTACTCTCTTGTGAATAGGATCTCTATCCTAGATCTCTCAGACCTTGCGTGATACGAACGTGACCTCAGAGATCGTGATTAAGAGTCACCTATCCTATGGTTTCTTCTACTACCAGAAAGCAGTAGCGTAGGATGTATAATCTGGTCCCTAGAAAGATGAGATTGAGTGCAGTCATCACGAATTTTATCCCGAACGACACCTTTTCCCCTCACCTAGCACTTCAGAAGCTCCATATCCGCCACTATCTTCCTTTCTATCTCATTACACTCCCTAACTCTGTTATCCAAGACTTAGGCATTGGACATTCTTCGTCGTTGATGTTCTTGTAGGGTTGGAGAACATTGAGAAGAATGAAGGTGCTTGTCGCACACGTCACTATGAGGCCCTCTTCTAGGCTGAGTGCCTAGATCTTGCATTGGATCAACAAACGGCAAATCTCCGCGCCTCCTATTAGCCTTAGGAGTCTGGCCATCGACGGTGGAGAACGGGGGATCTTTATTGTTTGCTATTAAAATCTTTTAAAGGAGCTTGATCAATAGGCTTGTTCTCTGTATTTGAGAATGTGAGGGGCGATGGCTACTCTCTTGTGAATAGGATCTCTATCCTAGATCTCTCAGACCTTGCGTGATACGAACGTGACCTCAGAGATCGTGATTAAGAGTCACCTATCCTATGGTTTCTTCTACTACCAGAAAGCAGTAGCGTAGGATGTATAATCCGGTCCCTAGAAAGATGAGATTGAGTGCAGTCATCCCGAATTTTATCCCGAACGACACCTTTTCCCCTCACCTAGCACTTCAGAAGCTCCATATCCGCCACTATCTTCCTTATTATCTCATTACACTCCCTAACTCTGTTATCCAAGCCTTAGGCATTGGACATTCTTCGTCATTGATGTTCTTATAGGGTTGGAGAACATTGAGAAGAATGAAGGCGCTTGTCGCACACGTCACTATGAGGCCCTCTTCTAGGCTGAGTGCCTAGATCTTGCATTGGATCAACAAACGGAAAATCTCTGTGCCTCCTATTAGCCTTAGGAGTCTGGCCATCGACGGTGGAGAACGGGGGATCTTTATTGTTTGCTATTAAAATCTTTTAAAGGAGCTTGATCAAAAGGCTTGTTCTCTGTATTTCCCAAAGACGACGCCAATTGTACGGGTACAAAATAATTGTCGCTTATATAATCCTGGTAATCAAGCTTACGCTCCTCGAAACAATGTCATATGGCCTAAAACCAGAAGAATACGTTATCGGTAGGTGTGTGCCGGAAAACCTCTTTCATGCTTAAGTTAGTACTCAAGATCAATATGGATAGAAGCTCTATTGAATCTTGTGAATAGAATTGTGTTACCTTCTTTTAAGTTATCTATGAGTTTTTATAATTTTTGCTTGGCAAAATCATATTAGGATTCTAATTCCCCATCGTGGAATCCTATTAGGAATCATCTTCATAAAGGATAATGCCCATCATTTAACGCCCTCATCACTAAATAAAGTCACAACTCCTTGGTTAGTAACTGGGCAAATCATTAGCCCAGTCACTTACCCAATGTGCAGTCAACTGAGTCTGGCTGCTTCTAAGAACAAGCACCATACCAAGCTAACCTAGCTCGGCGTGCCTCTTCAACTCACGCGGACTTACCTCGGCACTCTAACAAGCTATCTAGACTAATTTTGCTTGGCCAAACATGCAGAGACGATTACCCAGTTTGGCGATGTCTGTTGTTTGCTCGCCTAAATGTCGATAGCTCATCTGAAACCTTGCAACCCATAGACTAACCCAAAACGAGCCTGATTTGGCCCGACCCAATCATCTCAACACAAATCTCCCTCTCAACATTCATAATTTATAAATTATATACAAATTGGGCATGTAATTTAAGTCAATGATAACAATGATATGAGAGCTATTGTGGGATGGATATGATTTCTTTTTTGCAATTCCACGCATAGCACAAGTGGACTACTAGTAATATATGTTTAAAAGAGCACTCAAGCCATAAGTCTATTTCTGAATCTTTTGGGCCATTAGGTCCAAACTCTAATCTCTTTGGGTCAGAAGGACACAATTTGTCCAAAAAAATAATTGTCTGTTGCAATCACCCAATTCGTTTATTTGTTAAAATTTACCAAACCTATTTTTTTATCTGTCGAAATTTACCAAGATACCTATCTATTGAAATATGACATATGCCACTAATTCAATACCATATATGTTGAATATCACATATTTATCTACTTTACCACCACCATCTACTACCGCCGGTCGTCACAACCAACAACTTTTTTTGGTGCCCACAAATTTTTTTAGCATATCCTTATCGCCAAATAAAATTTTACATTAAATCTAATAGTTTATATCCTCTTTAAATTAGACTTTTCACCAATTTTCTCTATTTAAAAACATTGTTTTGTGTTGGATGGTTGTATTGCAGAATGGAGAAGCTGCGACTCCGTACAAAGGCTGGAAAGGTCAAGACTGGGGGTGCAATCATGTGCCTCGCAGGAGCACTGACTATTAGTCTTTATAAGGGTACATCATTTTACATTGGACATCATACAACCCATCATCAGATCATCTCCCATAAAGCTAATCATCATTGGACACGTGGCTCTCTATTCCTGGGGTTTAGTGTTCTATCCTATGCTACGTGGTTCGTTGTCCAGGTATATTCATACATATACCCAATCCAATTCCATTCATCCAACGGCTAACAAATGTAATTTGAACTTCTTTTTTTTTAATTCGAAGGAAATTTCATTAATTAAAGCCAAAGGACAGATATAAGAGTCCATCTAAACTAAAACTTACACCAAACAAAGTAGAAATATAGCAAGAATCACACAGGAAAGAAGCTATGAAAATATTTAGACACAAATTATGTGTTTGTGCTCGTACTATGAAGTAGAGCCGATCATAAGAATTTAACAATAGAGCATGTCTGAGATAGATCATAAATTCCAACCACAGAGAGGGTAAACATAACAATAACACCCTTGATGAACTCTCACACACACAATAGCAAAACAAGACACAATCAATAGCAAAACAAGACACAATCAAGAACCAAAAAATCAAAAAACAGAGAATAAAGACACAAACCCACTAACCAAACAACATCTAGCAGCGGCGGCAATAGATCCGATGGTAGTGAAGGCAGCAAATTCAACATAGCAAGAGATGGTGCAAGCGACAAATCTGGAGAGGGAGACGAAGAAACTAGCAGAGCAAGATGGTAAGCAAGGAAGAAGATGGAGGCGATGTCAGATAGAGAAGAGGAGAAGTGACGGATCTAGTGAGGGCCATAACCGGTGTTGAAGCGAAGAGGAGAAGAAACACCTCACTAAGGTGGAAAGCCATACCTTCCAAGTTATTGGACTACAAAAACAAAAAACGAAGGGAATGAAGGGGTTAGGAGGAGGGGAGAGGAGGCCGGTGGTCGTCGGAACCCCCTCCCCCACCACCAGCAGCCACCAATTCGGGAAACTCTAGGGGGAGAAAAGTTTAGAGAGAGAAGCTCTAAATATATACATACATATATATATATATAGAGAGAGAGAGAGAGAGAGAGAGAGAGGCTCTCAACTTGAAAGTTGCTATATATATCATCACATGAATTTCACTAATTTTTTTCTCCCATTTGACATAAAATACTGGACCGTCGAGCACTTGTGGGCTTCCTGCACGTAGATTGTTTATTAAAAAAAAAAAATATCACTAATTTTGTTCTCCCATTTGACATAAAATACTGGACCGTCGAGCACTTGTGGGCTTCCTGCACGTAGATTGTTTATTAAAAAAAAAAATAGTTAATTTAATAATTGTGACATGTAATTTATCTCTTGTATTCACACACACATAATAATAATAATAATAATAATAATAATAATAATAATAATAATAATCACATAATTTAAAAAATAAAACATTAATTTTAAATGTGATAAAATCATATGATTACAATTATTAAATCAAAATATTTTTTTAGTTTTTTTATTTTTTATTGATAATTTACATATAAAAGTCTTAAAAATAAACTGATACCTAGTGGTGGGCTCTCACGAATACAATAACACAGTCCAATCTTCTCTCCCACCCCAACGGACAGAAGCTATACACCGAGGTTATGTTTGGTTTGCTTTTTTTTTAAAAAATAAAAATTAATTTGAAAAAAATAAATATTCAAAAGATTTTTTTTTTAATTTTAAAATTATATATGACATATCAAAAAAGATAAAATTATATAAAAATAAGAAGTGTTCTTTGATTCTTTTTTTTCTTGCACTAAATTAATTTTTTTTTTTTTTAAACATTCTGAAACAAATTTCTAAGATCAGACCAAACATAGCCTTAATTTTTCTATTTGGACATACAAACAATAATCATCATGTGTATACGTTGATGTTTATTGTGTGGGGAAAAAAAAAATTTTTTGATATACTTTTGAGTAGACAAATGTATAATTTTCCTTTCAAAGTGAATAACCGTGTATGTTTTTTATATATTTATAAGGAATATGGTTTTGGCTTTTTGTAACCATCATTTACAGGCGAAGCTATTTAAAGAATTTCCATATAAATATTGGGCAACAATGTTAACGTGCATAATAGGATTCATGCAATCAACGGTGATTGGCTTATGGTTGGGTAAAAGTAAGGCTTCCTGGAGCTTGGGATGGAATATCCAACTCATTACCATCATTTATTCCGTAAGTTTATGTTTTTATTTTTACTCATAGTTCTCATATTCAAATTTTTTATTTTTTTTTAATTACTGTTTGTTCAGTTGCAAAAATAATTCTTTTTAAATTATCCAATCACGTTTGTGATTTTGTTTGATAATTTCAAGTTCTATGAAGTTTATCGGTTATACATAAAGAAATTAATAAATAATAAAAATAGTAATAATTAAAAAGTCAACAATCATTACTAGACAAACCAGGAAGAAATAAGGTCCTGTTTGAAAATTGGTTATTTTAATTGGTCTTTTTATTTTTTATAGAAAGATATGAAAAAATTAAAAAAAAAAATTAAAAAAGTGATTTGGTAACTTAGAGCATCTTCATTAAACTAGATATACAACTTCACTTTTTAGTCTCGTTTTATAAACTCAATTATGTGTAAGCAATATAATTAATTGATGATTAGAAAATATATGTGAGAAAATGTTACCTTTAATATCCTAATTGATTATCATATTACTGAGCTTAAAAATTGAGTCTAATTTTTTGTCTAGAATAGCAATGCTCTTTAGCTAACATAGTGAATCACTTAAATTTCACCTCTATCAAACTAGCTATCAAGTATGACCTTTTAGTTTTTGTGATTTTGACTCAACAAATATAACTAGTGATTTCACATAATCAAATATTCAAAAAAATTTACTTTTCATATTTTGAAAATAATTGTATTGAGTTTATAAAAAATAATTCTAAATTAAAATGAATAAGAATAATATATAAATAATATGGAGAAAGAATATAGAATTTGTTGGACAATATATTTAAAATGATGTATAGCCAAAATAGAAAAAAATAACTTTCAAGTCAAAATATAACAAAATTTTAACTAATTTAATAAAAATAGTGTTTGTGTGGGTGATTTTCTGACCACACTGCAATCTTAGTATCTAGCTGGAGAGCACCGGCAGAATAGATGACACCTGACTAACCTGCAATAGAAAGAGAAGACTCCGGCGGTGGTCCGTCCACCCGGGAGCACTTCGACGATCAAGTCAGTATATCTCTCAAAGATAAATCAAGTGTTAAACTCACAAGCTTGAGTATCAAAAGCATACCTTAGACCCATGGAGTGCCTCGCTTTCATAGCCAACATAAACCTAGTCCCAATAGAAGCCTAACTTCTATGGACTCAGGATTACTGCTAATCTTGGACTCCCAGTAAAATTAGGATAAACTCTCTATGAGTCTTATCTTAATACAAATTGAAGTCTTCTCTCATTCTAGGACTCTTGCCCCTCATCCGCTTATCTCGGATTTCGATATCTTCGGAGGTAACCTCGGCCTATCCGAGATGACCTCGACATAACAACCAGGACACGTGGCACCTCGGCTGACATGTCGGCGTCACTTTGGCCACGTGTTGGTACTCAGAAAATATATCCCTACAACTGCCTCCTAGGTTCTATTACCTCGACATTCTAAGGTGATGGAACCTATACTGTTCGTTCATTTGTGCCCCTCTGTCCGAGATCAAACTTGCCGACCTCAAAGTTCCCTGGACTTTACTGTCCACTTCTGTCAAGTATCAAGCTTCATGCTTTCCAAGCTTCTTGAGATCACACCTCCTAGCCGAGGTTCTTGCTCCATTAATTCGTAAACTCCAAGAGCTTTGCAACTGCTCCACTCACATTCTTCGATGGGTTCCTGACTTCCAGTCATCTATTTGACTCCAGCGATCTTCATATCGGCGTTCATTTCTCTTGGTAGGTTCAAAAGCTCTTTTATTAAGCTCAATCTTCCATAACTCTTCTGAATCCGTTTACTTGCCCTCTGTTGTCTTCTATTTTCGTCTGTTTTCAAGTTTTGAATTGTTTGAACGCCTGACACTGTTCTTGTCATATCCGCTTTCTGTTGTTAGCATCGTGTCTGGGTCATTACTTTCTTGTTCTTCACATACTTACTTAGTGCCTGTGCAATTGGCTTTATTCTTGAACTTTGTCGTCTTCTTGACTCTGATTTTTCTCTTTTTTCATTCAATCCTCTGGCTTTTTCTCTTTCTAGTTCTTTTGCTTAAATCTGTCATTGTTCCAAGCTTTCAAGCTCTGCAACTGTTTTCGTTCTCTCCTCCGGTGAAGCTACGTCATTCTGTCATTTTCGCATCCGTCGTCAGGACTTCGGCAATTCTCATTTCTAGCTTTCCATCTTTCTGTAAGCCACTGTTCCTCTTGGTTTTATTTCTTGTTGCTTTCAAGAAGCTCTGCTTCATTGTTAATCACCATTGCTGTTTTACCCGTGTTCCAAATCATATCTTCTTGAATACACACTGTTCACACATCTGTTGATTTCTGCCACTTGTTCTTGGCTTGACACACCTGTGCAATCTTTTGTTTGATTTCCTGATAGCTTCATCACAATTCTTGATTACGAATTACATTCTTGTTTCTGTTTTCTGTGTCTTTTTCCAGATCTTGTTTTTCAATCCTTGCCTTCAAACTCCGAATGGTGCCAATCGCCGAGAAGAGCTTTTGATTAAACTCTTGGGAGATCGATGTGAGCTCGGAGCCGAGAAGGCTGCTGAGAAGTCTTCCCAACTGTCTTCATATAAATCCTGCCATTGATGCCGAGTAGTTTTGTTTCCTTCTTTTACTCCTATGTACCTTGTACCTTTTACCTGTTAACTTATGTCCTTCTCTGGTTTATGCTTTTTAATCTGGCCGACGTGCCATTTTTTGTATCTGAATAATTTATTTTTCAATATTCAGGCCGAAGTTGCCCTTCTTCTTCTTTAAATGCATTTCTATAATTCTTCTTTTGAATGAATGTCTTCTTTTTATGCTCTTGTATGATTCTACACTTAGAATAATTTGCATGTCTTCGAAGTACACCTTGACTGTGCAATCTTTTCGGGTAAAAAACCTCTGTCTCAACTTCTAATCTTGCTTATCTCGGCCTTGTCCTAACACTTGAAAATATGTGTAACAAATATTTCACAAGTGTTGCTTAGAACTTGTCACTTTCTCAATGTCTTCTATCAAGACTTCAGTTTTCCATATTTCAAGTTTTGACAACCTGGTATTCTTGGCAAGTACGCAGATATTGCTTGAGCTTGACTTAACTTGTAAATTTTTCTCAAAAATTCAATAAGTGTTTTAACCATCATCCTTTATCATAAACCTCGGCTTAACTTCAGCTTGTAAATTATTCTCAACATTTCAACAAGTGTTTAACCATCTTCCTTTCGATACGACCTCGGTTTAACTATAACTTGTAAATTCACAAAGAATTTCAACAAGTGTTTAAACCAATCTACTTCCGATACATCTCGTTTAACTTCAACTTGTAAATTCACACAGAATTCAACAAGTGTTAAATATGACCTCGGTTTAACTTCAACTTGTAAATTCACACAGAATTTTAACAAGTGTTAAACATCATCTCAGTTTAACTCAACTTGTAAATTCACACAGAATTTCAATAAGTGTTAAATATCACATCGGTTTAACTTCAACTTGTAAATTCACACAGAATTTTCAACATGTGTTAAATATGACCGCGGTTTAACTTCAGCTTGTAAATTCACACAGAATTTTCAACAAGTGTTAAATATGACGCGTTTAATTCAACTTGTAAATTCACACAGAATTTCAACAAGTGTTAAACACCATCTCGGTTTAACTTCAACTTGTAAATTCACACAGAATTTCAGCAAGTGTTAAATATGACCTCGGTTAACTCAACTTGTAAATTCACACAAAAATTCAACAAGTGTTAAACACCATCTCGGTTTAACTTCAACTTGTAAATTCACACAGAATTTCACAAGTGTTAAATATCATCTCGGTTTAACTTCAACTTGTTAATTCCCACAGAATTTCAACAAGTGTTAAGACACCATCTCGGTTTAACTTCAACTTGTAAATTCACCAAGATTTCAACAAGTTGTTAAATATTCATCTCGGTTTAACTTCAACTTGTAAATTCACACCAGAATTTCAACAAGTGTTAAACACCATCTCGGTTAACTTCAACTTGTAAATTCACACAGAATTTCAGCAAGGTGTTAAATATGACCTCGGTTTTAACTTCAAACTTGGAAGATTCACACAAAATTCCCACAAGTGTTAAACACCATCTCGGTTTAACTTCAACTTGTAAATGCACACAAAACAAGTGATTTAAATATTCATTTTGGTTTTAACTTCAACTTGTAAAATTCCCACAGAATTTCAACAAGTGTTAAACACCATCTCGGTTTTAACTTCACTTGTAGATTCACACAGAATTTAACAAGTGTTTAAAGATCATTCTCGGGTTTAACTTCAACTTGTAAATTCACACAGAATTTCAACAAGTGTTAAATATGACATTCGTTTAACTTCAACTTATAAATTCATACAAAATTTCAACAAGTGGTAAACAATGATTTCGGTTTAAGACTTGTAAATTGTCCACAAATTTCAACAAGTGTTAAACAATGATTTCGGTTTAACTTCAACTTGTAAATTGTCCACAAATTTCAATAAGTGTTAAACAATGATTTTGGTTTAACTTAACTTGTAAATTGTACACAAATTTCAACAAGTGTTAAATAATGATATTGGTTTAACTTAACTCGTAAATTCACATAGAATTTTAACAAGTGGTAAACATATTCTTCTTCTCTCTGCCTCCTACATGACTTCTACATACTCCTTTGCGAACCTTATAAAAGGTCTTCAACCTGGCTAACTGCAGTCCAACCTTGCGTGTTTTCTTTTTTTATCTTCTAGGATCTGAGATCTGCTCACTGAGCTCTTCTCTTCTCGGACTTAAGTGCCGAGATCTTGTCTGCTAGAATCTTGGATCTGCTCACTCAGGTTGAGCTCTTATCTTCTCGGGCCTACTCATCTAGGCCGAGATCATGTCTTCTAGGATCTGAGATCCAGGGTCTGGAATCCGGGATCTGCTCACTTAAGATGAGTTCTTCTATACTTGAATGTTATCTCCTTGGGAGCGCTCATGCCCCCTGTCTTTGTATCCCTTCTGTAAGGGTCTTCGTTCCTCCGCAGGTATCTATCCTTCCACACCTGGAGGTCATCTTTGTTGTAGTATCCGCTTCGATCTATTGTTTTTGGTGCGTCACCTTTCTAGCCGACGTCTTTCACTCCGTGACTCTGGTCACGAGTTTCTGTGTTGCGGTCGTTCCCTTCAACGTCGAGGTTGATAGGTCTCCTACTCCCAGCAGGAGCGTTGTCTCCAATCTGATCCTTCTGTTTGTCATTGGCCATCTATTCTTCTTTCTTTCATTGGCCATCTATTCTTCTTTCTTTCCCACAGACGGCGCCAAATTGTGTGGGTGATTTTCTGACCACACTGCAATCTTAGTATCTAGCTGGAGAGCACCGGCAGAATAGATGGCACCTGACTAACCTACAACAGAAAGAGAAGACTCCGGCGGTGGTTCGTCCATCCAGGGGCACTCCGACAATCAAGTTAGTATATCTCTCAAAGATAAATTAAGTGCTAAACTCACAAGCTTGAGTATCAAAAGCATACCTTAGACCCATGGAAGTGCCTCTCTTTTATAGCCAACATAAACTTAGTCCCAATAGAAGCCTAACTTCTATGGACTCAGGATTACTGCTAATCTTGGACTCCCAGTAAGATTAGGATAAACTCTCTAAGAGTCTTATCTTAATACAAACTGAAGTCTTCTCTCATTCTAGGACTCTTGCCCCTCATCCGTTTATCTCGGATTCCTATATCTTCAGAGGTAACCTCGGCCTATCCAAGATGACCTCGGCATAACAACTAGGACACGTGGCACCTCGGCTGACATGTCGGCGTCACCTTGGCCACGTATTGGTACTCAGAAAATATATTCCCACAACTGCAGTGTTATAATAATTTTGACTTTTTAATTAAGAACTAAACTCTCCGAATACAACTATCAAATTCTTGACCTTGTGTAATTGTTCAGATGTTCGATTTTAAATTGTCCTTGACCTTGTGTAATTGTTCAACTATATGTTTTTCTTTTTTTTTTTTAAGATAATTTTTGCACACACATTGCTTGAGTTCAACTTCTAACATATATACACACACACATATGAATCATGAAATTAATTATGATGTTAGGCGTACATGGCCCACTACAGAGCCTACACTGATAATTCAAATCGTTAATTGTGTAGGAATTGTCAAATATTTTATCTTGAAAAAAACTATTTTAATCGGATATCAATAGGTATTTAATTGGAGTATATTTGTGTTAATAATTTATTTTTAAAATCATACTTATTGTTGACACAAAATGTGTTCGAATCAAGTAATTATTGATATCCGATCAAAATATTTTTTTGCAGAAATAAAATATTTGACTAACCCTATACATTGAACGATTCAGATCATCGATATGAGCTCTTTGGTGAGTCCATAGAAGCCCAACAACCTCCTCCAATTTGATTTCGAACCGGAGAGAAGCCTGTATGATTTTGGAGTCCTTTTTTTTTTTTTTTTTTTTTTTTTTTTTTTTTTTTTTTACAGGGGGCATTAGCTACGGCTGCATCATTTTGCTTAATTTCATGGACAATTAGGCACCGAGGACCAACCTATCCCTCCATGTTCAACCCCTTGGCCCTCATTTTTATAGCTATAGCCGAAACTCTCTTTCTTGATGAACCCATCACTGTCGGAAGGTAACTACTAAAGTCAACAATTTTTACCTGATATTATACCAACTCGAATAAAGTGACTAATTCAACAATCAAAATCTTTATGAAATCAAAGCCATTTTTCAATAATTGTGTAAACTCATTCTCCGTAATTTACGACATGATTGCAGCTTGTTAGGAATGTTGTTGATCGTATCAGGTCTGTACTCGTTCTTGTGGGGAAAGAACAAGGAATCAAAAATCATGGTTTTACCAAAAGCAATATTCGATGAAACATCACTAGTAGTTGTTGTTCCTGATCAATCTGTAGTGAAGCAATCGACAGCTGTAGTAATGCCAAGTGCTTCTACCAGTATCAGCACCATTGATGCCGAAGATGGTGCTGACCCAAACCACGGGGAAGTACATGGAGTATAGTTAGTCGTGTGATATAGTCGACCTATTCGCTCCAAGTTATGATATGTTTAATTTCTTTAGGATTGAGTGATCATTCTAAATTGTAATTCCACAGATTGATAGGCTAAGTTTAGATTTTAAATTTGAAGGGATTTTTGCAAAGGGGTAATTATTCATAGGTCTTCTTACAAGGCAATGTGCACCATTAAGTTTCACAAGTGTTTGCAGAGATCAAAAAGTCTTACAAGTATTAGTGATGCTTTTTGTGATGATTTTTTAAATTTGTCAATAATTAGTAACTTTTTTTGTTGATGAATTTTTTAACTGTTGCTAAAAATTAATAATTAGTGACACTTTTTTTTATTTTTTTTATTTTATAAAAATGCCTCTAACAAATAAAAAATAAGATTTTTTAGTAACAATGAATAGTGAATTGGACTTCTTGATGCATCAAAAAGTTAAGAAATTTATTGGTGCACTTGTCTTTCTAGTAGGATTTTTCAGTCCATTCCTCTTTTTGTAAATAGTTGGTTTATGATTGCGTATCCGATACTGCTGATTTAAACTTTCTTTTCATAGTGCTTGAGATTTTTCAATGTTAGAATAAGAAAAATTTCCAAAAATAATCTATACTGTCGACATGTACTAGTTGATGCTTTCGATATCAACATATTGTGATCGATACTGATACAAATCATTTGGCTAAAACTAAAAGGCCAACCTATTTTTTGGACTTTATTTTTATATTTTTGCAATTTTTTTAGCTTTTGAGTTATATATATTTTTAAAACACTTTTAGTCGGTCTAAAAAAAAGGGGGTTTAATTTTGAAGAAAAAAATCACTAAAAACGAAAACAAGTCAATTTTTTTTTATCAAATTTTTTTTATTTATAAAATTGGTTTATTTTTATCTTTTCTAGACTTTTTATTATTATTTATCTATTGTTAAAAATGTTTACTATCACCTGGTTGAGAAAAATTTAGGGTAAATTGTCGATAGGTCCTAATGATTAGATTTAATTATCACTAAATCCTATTGAAAGTTAGTCATAGCAAAATCGTTGCTAAAAATAAATTTTTATGACTTTTTCTGGATATATTGCTAAAAATTGACAATTAGTGACATTTTTTTGTCACGATTATTATAAATTGTAACTAAAACTTATAATTAGTGACTTTTTATGTAACGAATTTTTCAAATTGTCGCAGAAAGTTGAAAATTAGTGACTTTTTTGTGATAGATTTTTTAAACTATCACTAAAAATTAACAATTAATGATATTTTTTTAATAATATTTGATAAAAATGTCATTAATTATCACAGGATCTATTGGATAATAAATTCATCTATTAAAACTTATACGTAGGTCCCAAAAAAATTTAACAACTAAATAAATTTGGCATAATTTAAAGGGTAAGTTATACAAATAGTTCCTGTAGTTTATACGATGTGTCAATTTGGTTCATATTGTTTCAATTTGCATGATTTTGCCCCTTAATTTAACGGATTGTGTAATTTTAGTCTAATAAATAACGGTTGTTAAGTTTGGTGGATGGAAAATCTAACTATGTGCCAATTTGGTCCATGTAATTTACATAATGTGTCAATTTAGTCCCTGTCAAAATCGAGCAAATTAAAACAATATGGACCAAATTGACACATTATGTAGACTTACCATCCACTAAACTTAACAACTGTCATTTATTAAATTAAAATGACAGAATATGTTAAATTAAGAGACAAAATTGAGCAAATACAAACAACATGGACTAAATTGACACATTGTGTAAACTATAAACACTATTTATATAATTTACCCAAATTTAAAAAATAATAATTTAGTGAAAAAAAGAAAAAGAAAAAAAGCGTCACCTCCCAAAAAAATTGCAAGAAAATTATTTCACAAAATTTTTTGCTATGTTCTCCGTATTCTGGAGAGTAGTCAGGACAATGTCTTTTTGAAGAGTCTGGATCCTCTAGGTGATTCGATTTTGATCCTCTAGGCGATTCTCTGAAACCTTGGTTGAATAACAAATTCAAAAAAAAAGAAGAAATAAAGCAATTGCTATGGTGTCTCAGAGAGAGAGAGAGAGAGAGAGAGAGAGAGAGAGAGCCATGTGCTGCTGTTTTGCAAGTATATCAGCAAATAAGCAAAAAGAAAGAAATTAAAAATGAACTCCAACAGACAAGAAGTTAAAGAAAACACAAACAACAAGAAAAGCTGATTACAAATCACTCCATTTTGAGTTCAAGAAAATGCCATAAAATTTAGTCGATCTGTTCGACAAACAAAATATCAGCAACACACAAACTGAGAAAAGCATCTTCAATGAACTCATGAACTTCAGCTGGGTTGACAGCAATGTAACAGTAAACCAAGTCCTCCATCTCTTTCCAATCTTGAACTCCCGCACTCCGAATTATCTCTAGAATCGACTCTCTTATGTCCGAAAAAGGGTCTGTCGAGTACTTAACTAAGCAAATACTATCAGCAAAAGAACCAGAAATCTCGTCAGGCAACACAGCTGAGAAGCTAATTCTAGTACTCCACTTCTCCGAATTCTTCTTCTTCTTTGTCTTCCTCTTCTCGTTGTGATCCGGTTGTTGATCAGAAAGCTCCATAGCTTCTTCAAGAAATGCTAAATCTTTGAAGGTTCACAAGATTTGGAGAGTTTTAAATATTGAAGGAGTTGGGTTGGGATAAATTTTTGGAGTATAAACGTGGGATGCCGTGTGGACCATTATGTCGTCTCTCTCAAGAATTTTATGGTGGTTGTGTCCAATCAATAGCAAGAGTTTAATTGAATATATAGCTTAATCATAAAGAAATGACAGACAAAGGACAACGTAACGTTAGTTGGGTACATAAACACGTAATTTTCGTGACCTATTAGATAATTTTTTGTGGAGGAGGAGGTAGATGGAAATGCAGGGAGTGATGGGAGCCAATAAAGTCAATTGAAAGCCACCCATTAAAGTTGTTGCCCTGGCTTCTTGTGACAACATTCATGTACTCCATGAAAATGAAAATTCATGTTCAATGGTCCTTTTTACGCCTACAGCTTCTATCCAATCGTCTTGAGAGAATTGGACAGTTCAGTTCGGACATGTGGGAGTCTATTAAACGGATTTTATTTTAATAATTCAATTTATTATATTATTTATTGATAAGTGAAAAAAGATTGATCTAATCTGATCATTGTAATCACATTTACCTTTTAAAAAAATAATTTGTTTATAAAATTATAGTTATCATCTATTTTGTTGCAAATAAATGTAAAAAAACCATATTCTTGTAATTATTTAATCAATTTGATTTTTTGTGAATAATCTATCTATATTGAAACTTAAACGAGTTACAATTTAAATTATCAAAATAAGGCCCATGGTAGGCCGATGAACCTGAATTGGACCGTTCACGAGCTCAGTCATTTTATGACAAAAGCAAAAATAAAACCAAATAACAAATTAGCATGCAAAGGATTAACAACAAATAATTTTAATTATAAATAATGAAATTACAATGACTTAGCTCTATCGGCACTATATTCCTTCATTATAAATCTCAGAATCTAAAAATAATTCAATATATACAAAGATTATAAGAGATGTAAACTCGATCAAAATAAACCCAAATACAAATATCATATCAAACTACATAGATGGAACCACACTGTTAGTAGTATTTTTAAAATGTGTAAATTACTAAAATATCACATCATTTTATATGAATTTTTATGTAATAATGCTTGTTTGTACAACAACATTACTCAAAACTTGTACGTAATAATCTGAACATGTCCTCTAGATGGTTGGGATATTTCATGTTCTGTCCCTTTTGGGTCGTCAAGAAGAGTCTTGAATTGATCTTTGGGTTCAAAGAATATAAGAAAACAAAAATGAAGAGAAACAAAACGTTAAAAGAATAAAGCAAAACAAAATATTTGTTTAAATGCTCTGCTTCTTTTGCAGGTACCATAGGATGAGATTGGCAATCAATTCCTCTCCCTCTTTGTTTTTCTCTGGGTGCTACCAAATACACATTTAATTTCTCTTTATATATATATATATATTGACACTAAGAACATAAAATAAAAATATATAATGTATCATAAAAAGTGTATTGAATAATTAAAATTTATTTTAAATGTAAATCTCATTATTTTTTATTTATTTATTTATTTTTTGATTGTGTTGTTAGGGAAAATCGATGATTCCTCACAAGTAAATCAATTAATGAGAATAAAAACTAATGCGGAAAAATTAAATCAAAAGCAACACAAGAATTTTTACGTGGTTCCCTCAATGTGAGGTACGTCAACGGGATTGAAATCCGATTCCATTATCAACCAAATAAGTTCCAAACGATTACAAAAGAGACACTAAGGGTCTCACAAAACCACCCTTAGGTGAATTCCAAATAATCACAAATAAACAAAGAGGAAAGACCTCACTAAATAGATGAACCAAAATCTTCAGAATCAGAGTTAAAAAAAACCCAAAATAATAATCCAAATCAACTTCACCAAAGCTGCCGAAACCACGCCACCACCGAATCACAACCACAGAACCATGCTTCTCACCATGATCATGATGCTGCTGGATGCTCACCTTTTTGGCAAAATACCAAGAATGGCAGCCGTACTACCTTTATGGTGAAAACCAATATATATATATATATATATAATTGGGTATTGGGTTTTATAATCAAACCCTAAATTGTTTCCAAATAGAATTGGGTCCCCATGAATATAATATATAAAAATATATTATAACTAATACCAAACTAAATCAAACTCTTTTAATAAACCAATTGGGTCCCACACTCCAATAAAGAGGTATATCCAACAATTCTCCCCCTACTGACTTAGGTGGAGACATCAACCATACCCGCCAAAGTTCGGCACTTTAAATGTTTGTCCCTCGACAAAGTCTTCGTCAGCATATCCGAAATATTATCATCTGTGTGAACCTTTTCGAGTTGTAACAATTTCGAATCTAACACATCACGAATCCAATGGTATCTCACATCAACGTGTTTCGATCTCGAATGAAAAGTAGAATTTTTGCTCAAGTGAATAGCACTTTGACTATCACAATAAAGCACATACTTTTCTTGCTTCAAACCCAACTCTTGCAAAAATTTCTTCAACCATAACTCTTCTTTGCAAGCTTCCGTAATAGCAATAAATTCAGCTTCGGTAGTTGAGAGAGCAACACATTTTTGTAATTTAAATTGCCATGCCACAGCTCCCCCTACAAAAGTCATCAAATATCCCGAAGTAGATTTCCGAGAATCAATATCACCGGCCATGT